TTAAGGTGGAATTTATCACGCACGTTGCGTTTCTAATTTTCCCATACTTCACAGACAACATTTATTTTATACAGTATCGTATCGTAAATGTCAAGTTTTAATTTCGAACAAAAAATTGTGTCGCCCATATGTGAGGATGCGGCAATCAAACTGTTGAGGACAGATGTTTCACACGAGCATCGGTAGACTTTTTTAGTTTCATGTATGCAGCGATGCAACATTTGTTTACATATTTTGAAAATAACAAGTATAATGTGTATTTGTCACGTGTCTTACACCTGGTTACTTTCGTTATGTGTACGCTTACTATTCTTCTTGTCCTCTCTTATTTGAAAATATAATTCGAGGTTTTATGTGAAAATTGGACTACAAAGAGTGACAGCTTTCGTAAACAAACCTATAAATCATTGCATGTTCTATTATTTTAACATTGTATGCGATGCGATCGATCCCATCGTCATTTAAACCATCTGTTCCTACCGCTAGGTCTGTCCCCAATGATTCGCAGTTGTGGATGATCCGACGCATCACGATCGTTTTTCAATGCGTTCTGATACAGCTAGCATCCTGAGGGATCTACAGACGTTTAGTCAACTCACGTGCATTATCGTAATGTTCATCCTTTTACGAAGACAATAGTAAAATTCTTTAAAACTTGATTGACCTATCAGTTTTATTCCTATCAGTTTTAATCTTTTGTTAATTGTTATATTATGAGATACAATTGCAGAATTTTTAAAAATGAAATTTCTTCGTTGCATTTTTTTAAATAAATATATCTCTAAAATAGCGGTTATAAAAAAATTACTTTCTTCTAAACCTATAGTATGGTATTAATGGTGTATTAGGTGTTTTAATACGTTAAAGTTGTGGAAGTACGATATTAGACTACATACGTATGTGCATGTGTGTAGAACGTGGCGCGACCTTAATACCGTAATGAGGAATTAGCAAATGGTATTGTGCCTTATGATCTTTTGTCATGGCTTGTATTCATTGCAAATTTACATACGTTTCTATAGAATTTCCGTTCATTCTATACCCTTGCTTATTTCTATTTTAATTCAACAGTTCTATTATATTACATTTAAAATTTCTGAAAGGGATTTAAAATATTAATCTCAAAAAGTTCTAATTCTGTTTTGTGCTTTGCGTTTTCAGTTTTTTTGTCGTTTTTACACTACTTGTCTAATGGACGAGAATAATCATTGGCCCGTTAACATTTTTTCAAGGTTTTCTAATTCTTCTATTCTGTTAATATTAACGTAACCGAGTTTTCTACAGTTCTTTCGTGTTTTTTTATCGATTGCTGTGTATGGCAGGGTTTAGTGTTTAGACAATATAATTTCAAAAGTCTGTTATTTTAATATGAATATATATTTAATTTTAACTAGAGAATTATTACTATCTAAATTATTTCATTTCAGAATTCGGAATTCAGTGATTATTATCGCAACAATAAATTGTAATGTAATAAACTATTTTAAGAGGGTAATCGCAAATAATTTCAACTTCGCATGAGAAGTATGATGTGTTGTAAAACTGACAAATATTCTGCACCCATCATCAAGATGATAGAATTCGGTAATTATCAATCATCATTAAGATGATACAATTAAGTAACCATTGAGTTTCTAACGAAGTTCAAAATGCTAAACACTAACGAATGTTCTTTTTCAAATTTTCACGTAGTATGCAAATTTGGAATTATCTAAAATTTTAGAACCATCTGCCGTATATAATGGAACTACGTAGAGATGAATTAATTCGAAAGGAAACATGCGGGTGTATCTAAGTATGTAATTGTGTTATAAATTGAATTTCAAAATAATGCGTATTATTTCAGATGACAATTAACCAAATAGTTCAATTTTACGAGTAACACCTACCTTTATGCAAGATGTAAAAAAATTGACGTCGAACGCGTTATATCATAGTAAATAATTTGACACTCCTTTCACATCTAAACTAAAACTTTGATGCTGTTAACACTAATCTAAAGTAATTGTAAGAAATTATTTTAAAACGATTCATTCGAACATGTTTTCAAAGATTTCGTTCCGTTTCCAACTTCCGAATCTTAAAAATTAGGTACTGAAAATGGTTTATCATTTAAAACATTATTTGTTATTTAAACCTTTACACTTGTATATCATGCTGAAGACAATACAAATTTCTTATAGAACGTTGGAAATTGTTTTAAAAAGTACCACACGTTTAAAGGACAAAGATGCAATTTTATTATGATAAAAATAAATAAAATAAACATAAAATGTTAAATTCTACCGCTGTAAATTACTTTAAATCATTTCCTTAAAAAAAAATACAAGTTTATACTCAACAACATTACAAATAAATCGAGTGCAAGGGGTTAAAATTTCTGTCGATTCCTGTATTGATAAGAGTAGCTGAGGCGAGTAGTATTTTTTGAAAGCGTGAGTGGAAAAGTAGAGGATAGATGGCGCAAGGAAGAAGCAGCAATCATTCCATCATTATCTCCCTTTGTCGTACGAAAATATCAACGCCATTAGATGTTGATGGCCGGGTGACTGAAAGCAGCTCCTACGCGAAGAGGTTGTTCGACGGAGAGACACCGACGACGCAATGAACAATGTCCACTGCGTTGCACCGGAAATAAGAACCGGCGCGTACGAGTTGACCATTGTCATTTAGTAACCCCCCCGTTCCATTTGATTCTATTCACGCCTCGGGAGAACCGGACGTGAGGTCAGCCGCGGCTCGTTTAAGTTCGAAACTACTCCAGCGAAAAAAGATCCGCAAACGACCAAACTTTTTGGTGACGTCACGAAACGGTGATTCTCATTCGAGTTGTACCCAACTTCCTTGCCAACGGTTTCTAGAACAATTTCAAACGTAATTGAGCTATTCGACGTTAATAATATAAATTATGATGCGTGTCGAATAACACTAGTTAAGATATTACATTTATTCGGAGCTGAACAAAGAAAATGGTACTAGATTCTGGTATATCGTTTTTGAATGTTTTAAATCGTATAAGTCGTGCAATATAGGTTATTTTGCAATTATTTTATTTCAGACTTACGCTGTTGTATCATTTTTAAACAAGAAGCGTCAAAGTGGAAATTAAGGTAGTTTACTTCCTTCGAAAGGAATTTCATAAAATAAAAGTCCTCCGGAAACGAAATTACACAAAATGATGTGTTATTCAGCTTTTATTCTAAAAATACAGAAAACACAATGCAACGACGTGTAATCATTATCCGATACATAATTTCATTTCGTCCCGTGATAATACTTAGAAATAACAATCTCAAATTAATATTTGCTTCAGAAAGATACTACAGCTTTTATTTTAATTAAATTATAACTTTATTGGTACTTTAGTGGTAACAAATATTATTGTATCATATTATGTTACATGCACAATATTCTGTTACAATTTCTGATAGCTTTGCTTTGAACAGGAACAATATTTTTGAAAAACGAATTGAAAATTATTTTTGTCCGATATGAAGATATTTATTAAAGTAAAATTGTTTTACAATAAACTATATAAAAGCATTCATTTTTCATATATTTCGCAGCATAATTAATAAAGATAATGACATTTGTTTTTATAAGGAGATTATTTTACAGCACTGTTAAGATTGTAATTAATTTAAAAATAAATTTATTAATAAAATTAAAATCAAAATTTAATATGCTGTATGTGAACGCGTGCGTGCGACATAGTGAAGTAGCCTGATTATATTATCGACGTTACAACTGGGGGACAACGAACCAGGGACTTTCCCAGAAAAAATGCGTTAACGATGTTCCGAGAGTTTCGTCAGCTGCATAATTACACGGATGTGTGTCTCATTTCGCTGCAGAATCGCGTGTGCAAACTGTTTACATTCCATTCGCGACGGGACAAACCACAATTGCACGATCGGAAGCATATAGAAAATTGCAAGCCTTAACGCGAGAATTGCTCGTTATGCCTGCGCAATGTTAGGTCTGATGCGTGTGTAGGTGTAGTACAGGCCGCATTGTGTACGCGCGGTCTGTTTAAAGGGAGACATAAATCCAAATCAGGGACACGAATTACACCCGTCGAAATAATTTACTGTCAGTTCAATGCTGCCAGTCATCGTTTCTCCTGCAGTTTTCGCCAGATGATCGGCATGGGAACGTGGCGGATTACTTGAGGGGAGGGGTAATTGTTCCTGTCGTAACTTCAGCCCCTAAACCACAGGAGTCCAATGGTCTTTCCAAGCGCTAATCTTAATACCGTATTAGGTTGTCCGGAACTTAACTGTGAATTTCATTAATCTTGTGTACGCGGTGATGGGCAAGATGATTCACCTAATATATTTATCCCTTGTGCTACATTTCATTTGATAAAAGTTTGTTCACTTCATAATCTACCTTTTTCAGTCTGATGCTCATTTGTTTTCGTAATATATATATATGCAATTCTCATATCTCAACAAAAAAGCGTTAATTTATTCCCTAAGAATATTTCTGTAAATTAATACATGTCATATAAGCATACATACAAAAAAGAATTCGATAATATTATAGCTCTTTTTAATAGAATTTTCTACATGTAACATCAAATTTTAATAAAATTTGACGTTTACTATATTGGCTTTTATCATAACCCAGCAGCGGTTTTGGTCAGAGTAAAATTCTTGCCGTAGCAAGATAAAACCTTAATTTAAATTAGGGTTATAAATTTGACACAAGATATTAGATTTGAATATAAACGCAATAATACCATAAGCAAACATCATTATGACAATAACAACCTTGGATCTGCGACACAACCACATATAATGTAGACCGGAGTGTTACGATTTTCTGATATTTAAATTCATAAAAATATCTATTCACTAATAAAAGCGTTCTTGCATTGAACTCTTCTTAATGTAGTTTATTAGAAAACAGAAATTCAATAATTTCCGCCGCAATAAATCACCGAATCATATCGAATCGAAAAGATTCCACGCCAACTCCATTCATTCTGCTTCCAGGTGGTGTCAACACTCATGCTCTGGTAACAGCGTGAACGTACTGCGAGCGGAGCGGACAAGAGGCAGAACGATGTGGCGTGTACTGGTCGTCACGGTGTTGCTCGCGGCCACGTCGGCGGGCGACAAGGTGGCAGTTTTGCCCCACGATATTTACCCAGGCTACGAAGTAACGCAATTCGGCACGAAACGGCCGTCAAGTTTTCGCCTGATGGAGAACGAGTACTCGAAATTCTTCACCGTGTTGGGCAACGGTCTTGTGATGACCACGTCCGACTTAACTCCGTTAATGGACCGGCGCGTGAATCTGATCATTCTCGAGGACCTAGCCAACGGCACCGAAACTCATTTCCTTCATATCTACGTGATTAATCGCAGGAACATGATCACCGTCACCCACGATTATCTCGGTGAGGGTGAGGTGTTCGAGAACTCTGCGGTGGGCACTTTGATCGACGGTTTTCCCGTTGTGCGCGCTAGAGGAAGTTTCCCGATCCATTACAGCATTGCGCCGGACGAGACCGGAGAACGAGCGTTTGCCCTCAAAGAGGAAGACTCCGATCGTACTGGCTTCAATTTGACGTTGAACAACCAGAGGGTGGGCGTCCGAGTGGTCACCGCGAAGCCCCTGGATCGGGAAGCTAAGAAGCTCTACACGGTCTCCATACACGCTTCCGACGGGAATTTCCTAAGCACCTCGCAGATCACGGGTCTGGTGCGCGTTCTCGACGAGAACGACAACCGGCCGGTCTTCGAGAAGGAATTGTACACGTTTGAGATCAGACCCACCCACGTGGACTCCATTGACCAGAACTCGGTCGCTTTGCCCGGTTGGGAGCGTTTCTCGACTGTGGGCAAGGTCGTCGCCAAGGATGCCGATGGCGACAAGGTCGCGTACACTTTGCTCACGCCCAGCAAGTTGCTGGTCATCGTTCCGCAAACTGGTGAACTCCTATTGACCGGTGAGCCGGACATCACCATGGACGAGAACACTGAGTGCACGGTGATCGTGGATGCTCACGACGTCCGTAGCCTGAGCCGAACGGCCGAGAAACCTACCAAAGTTCTTATCAGATTCGTCACCTTGGAGACCAAAGAGGTGCAGACTCATCGGATAGAGAAGCGGAGAGTAACCAGAGCCGTCAGGCCGACCAAGAAGGTGGAGTTCACCGAGGCGGACGGAAACGTGGAAGGGAAGATAGCGTTCTATTTGGAGAAGGAGAACGAGAATGAGACTTACAAGATCAGGGATGAGAACAAGTGGGTCAACGTAGAAGCTAATGGGTCTGTCACCGTGAAGCAGAAATGGGATTACGAGGAATTGGGATCGGAAAAGAATATTGATTTTTGGGTGACCATTACGAATACAGGTATGCGTATTTTGATTATGGACATCGATGACACTTGTAGATTTTCTTTTGGTTATCAATGTACGAATTTTTAGCGATTATGTTCGAGCATTGGGTTGTCCTATGATTCATTTGAATTTCACATATTTAGGACGAATTTTTTGTTGAGGAACTTTGAAGAATCTTTATTGTATTAACGATATTAACACTAAGTTTACAAACGCGTCAATTTGAAGCATACTGAATTTTATAAATATTATTTGGTACATGTTTACGTCGACTTACATCGATACAATTGCACAAATATGTATTCTAATTGTCTACTTGTAAATCTTTAATTTCCAAGATCTGAATGAACGATTGACTTTTCTAGGAGCAATAGAATGAAATGTCCGTAAACCTAGTGTTAATAATTAATATTTGATAGAGATCGTATATTTCAATGAACAAAGTTATTTATAAAACAATCACATTTTTGTATAATCAGTAAGAGGGTCTTTCCTTTACTGCAAAACTTCACAGGCTTAAAACATTGCGCCGTTCCTTGAAAATAATTCCTATATATAATAATTAAATACGCAAAAACAAATTCATGAATTAGTATTCAGCGAACTTTCAAAAAATAGTTCACAATGATACGTATACAAAATTCAACATTTTATAACTGTATAGTTGAAATACGTACCTTAATAAGGTAAATAAAATGTATACGAATTATATACAAATGTCTTTTATATGGTAGTGCTACCGTAGTCTTCAGATTTGTTCTCATTGTTTATGAATTTTAAATGCTTCAGCTTGGTTATGCAGAGATTCGACAGGTAATCGTTGAATTAAAATGTTAGGGTACTTACTGTAGCTTTTCTTGTTGTATCTTTCTGTTGAAAGTTGTACGTTTATTATTATTCAAAGAGTTTTTATTTTATTTAAAATGTTTTTACATCATTGTACTATTTCAAATTTTAATGTCTATTGTAGACGATAATACTGACAATAAGATAGGTAGCTATTCGTGTGTATTTAATTTTGTAATACATTGTTCACAAATGTAAAATGTATAGATAATGAGAACAAATTTGGACATTACTATAGCATTACCATATAAAGGATATATGTAAATAATTCGTACACATTATTTCTAGGAGAACCCAATGATCACAAAATTTAAATTTTATTTAAATTATTTTTACGAAACAAATTATACGTTAACAATACTGAAAAATCTTCTTTTTTAATTTAATCTATATACTTTTAGTAAATTCCATTGATTAATTTTTATTTTGTTGTCCGTTCCGGGGCCGAAGAACGGTGTTTACGGTATCCACCGTATACTCGGTGTCCATTTCACGGTATAATTTTAATTTTTACTTTTATTTTCATATACCACGTACATCCGATCATTCACTCATCCTTATGTTCTCTTACACTATGGCTGGGAACTGTTCTCCTTCTTCTAGATTTCTTTTTTAGAGGGAATAAGCATTTGTGCTTCCGAAAATCATGCGCGGTGCACAATTGTTAACCCTTTCCACTCGATTTATTTTCAATGTTGTTGGGTGTAAATTTGTATTTATTTTTAGGGAAATAAATTACAGTAATTTACAGCGGTAGAATTCAACGTTTTATACTTATTTTATTCGTTATTATTATAATAATATTTAATTTTTATAATCTTTTAAAGTGTGATACTTCTTAAAGTACAACAAATTTTTATTGTCGTCTCTCGCATGACATACGAGTACAAAGGGTTAGACTAGCATTAGGCACGAATGAATGTACTCCCAACTCAACAGATTCCTGTCGAAGGAGAGGTGTACGATTTGCGCTTTCCTATCTTTAATCCTTTGGCTACTGTTGGCGCCTAAGGGCGCTTTAAAAATTTGGTTTCGGTACACTGTTATTGCCTATAAACGTTGAGTTCGCACTGTTCGAAATGAACTGAAAGCGCCTATAGGCGATCGTAAAATATTATTGACAATAATTGCAGCAACGCTCGCTCGGATCAAATATAAGTGAATTCTAATTCAACAATTACATCTTTCCTTAGTCATATATTATTTAAATGTGATTATTTTATATCGGTTTAATTTAGTTCAATTTAGTATTTTGATTGTTTTAATATACTTTCTTAGAAATACGTGTTGACACGAAGTTCCATCGTTCTCAGTGTAGGTCGCAATTGACCTTCTGCTGTATGTTATGCATGGTACGTCTCAAAATCTGCCGTAGCCAAAGGGTTAATAACTGACTGTGAAATCAATGAATCTCATAATTACAAAGAAATATTACAAAAGCGACCATGATTGTTTGAACAAACGGTGGATTCGGTAGATATAAAAACATATAAAACGACTTGCATTTTAGTTTGCAATTAATTAATATGATTAAGAAAAGCGATAGTGAAATGTTCAAAACTATTAAGTGAACACATTATTGCTTTACAATGTAACAGCGAAACACGAATCAATTTATCTAATAAGAAGTTTACAATATGCATCTTTTAACTGTTAGCAATTTTATGCTTTAGAATTTAATCAGGCATAAATGTTTTTATGTCGACGCATAAGAAACGTAATTCAAGAATATTTTAATGAAAAATAAAACAATCATGAAAATTCTATAATATTAAAATACAACATGAGTTTCAAAACTGGTATAATAATAATAACTCTATCTAATCCAACGACTTGTTCGTACATTGCTTCACAGTGTGTGTTTAAGAAGTTATTTCTAAATAGCTTTTTGATTCACCTAAGTCGACCATCATAAAATACTTTTTATAAAAAATTACTTTCAAATCGTGTAACATCAACTAAAGTGTACAAGTACATTAATGTTTTTCCACTGAAATATGAATTTTTATTCTTTTTCAAATATTGGCTTCAGCTGTTAAGTAGAGAGCGAAACTGATACATTCAAATTTTACTTTTACAAAAAGTAGCGAAATATTTGTTTTCAGTTATAATTGCTTATATGCATTTTTGTGAATTTATTTCACTTTCTCATTTTTCTACAAACATTTAAGTTCCTTTTTATTATGATTACGCGGTAATACCATAGTATTCGTTCTACTTTCGATTTTCGTGAAACTGACAAATGTAAAATGCACACTTTAAATAATTTTTTCCTGTGACAACAGTTTCGAAAACTTATAGTTTCCGACATCATCGCAAAAAACTTTTGCTACTACTGCAGTGACTTCAAGCATAACCCACGTTCGCCATTTCGGCTTTCGCCCTTCTCGTATTTCACTTGGGTACTCTCCTCCACAAAAGTTCCAGTCTAAGAATTACGAAGCAAGTGCAATAAGTAGTCACGCCATGTCTGTGTCGACTACCTTCAAACTAAAAAGTCACAGGGACAAGGGGACTCTTTCACTCGAGATGCTCGCGTCAATAGCTATAGAACAACAGTGACGCCTTGGGTGTGATATAGTCATGTCGTCAGCCGAGGCGCGAAACGGGAAAAGCAGACGGAACAGAATGCGACGGAGAGAGATCTAATGAGCATCGTAGCCGAATTTTATTCTGACGGATTCCGAATTTACAAAATCTCGAGGAGCACGAAGGTCCGACTATAGTATTCTCGCGATTATTACAGTAATGCACGCTTAAATTCCACATAAATCTGCTCGGCTTAATTCCACTGCGCTATCCCTACTCTTCCCTCACTACTCACTGTCTCGAGCTCCGTGCAACGTGATCCCAGCAGACAGTGACAGGAAATGAATACAATGAGGGGAAGAGAGACAGACACAGGTCAAAGAGATATGTACAGCACACATCAAGTATAAACATGCAATGAAGAAAATTTCAGTTGTAATAATTTCAAGCTTACTTTCTCAATCCTAATGCCGATTGAATGTCGAGATTCTTCTCATTAAAATGAGTCCAAACACGACGTAAATCGGTCTAGTTTTATCGATTTGATGGAAATAAATCTTTAATTTCGTTAATTACATTAAGTCGGTAAAAGTAGTCCAATTTACGTCGTGTTTGGACTCATTTTAATAAGAAGAATCTCGAAATTCCATCGGTACTGCATTTGAGAAGGTAAGGTTAAAACCAACATCGTTTTGAATTTCCGCGTCGTAACCCTCGATTTTCGGCGAACTGTCTATCTTGTTATCAGGCTGTGCTCAAGTCAATTCCCGGAAACAAATAGCTTCCTCCTGTTTTTTCTGCTCGGTTAAATTCCGCTGCTGGGACCTGAAACTGTGGAATTTATTAATTTATTAATTTATTTATTAATTGATATGCTGTTCAGTAAGGTAAATATCGACGGGACAATATTAAAGCGATTTTAAAACCTTATTATGAGAGATTTTTTGTAAATGAAACTTTTACCAACGCATTTGTTAAATTCTTCTGATTAAAACAAAACCAAACATGACACATTTTAAGTCACAATTTACTAAAACAAAATAGATTATTGTAATTTATTAAATAAGTAAATATGTTTCAAAATATATGGTATTTGGTCTCGTTTTAATCAGAAAATTGGATTATTTTTATTTTTCCGATTATTAATCGGAAATTTGGATTAATATCTCCTCATTCATCCGTTTCTTTTGATCCTTCCGAAGTTCGGGCGTCTTGCATTTTCATTCCCGTTATTCTCCTCTACGGAGGACAAACAAGAACTCGGCTTAAATCTGATCTCAACTGATTAATCTCCAGTCATAGTCCCGATTTTCAGGCACTAATCGCAAGAATACTGTAACATGTTTCCTGGAAAGACTGAGGCGGCGCACGCAGTCGATTCTTCTTGTCCATGTGACTTTTCAGCTTGTGAGTAGTTGGCATATACATGGAGTGCCTACTGTAAAAGCGTACGCGGAGAAGGAACTCTACCCTTTCCCCTGCACCTCCATTCCAAGAAAAACTAATACCAATCTTTATTACCCATGGTGAAACTCATTTCTATCCGTACAAAAAACCACCGCGATTGATTGGAACTGTTAGAACTTTTGTCGGGAGGAATTATGTGAAATCGAAGATAATCGATGGTTCTTTGATGTAAGTCAATCAGATCGCCTCAGATTCGTTCATATGCTTATGGCCGTATCAAATGCACGCCCATGTATATAGATTTCGATATAGGTAGTCGTAGCGAAAGTTTCTCGCGATTATTACGGAAACTAAGACCGTACACGGATTATTGTTTAGAAAAGGTAATCTAAAATCATGTACTCAATAACATATTAAAAAATCATTCAAATCAAACACTGCTCATATATTAGAAGCTAGCTTCTTTCATTCTATCATAGAATGGAAATGGATTAAGAAAGTTTGTCTCAAAATAGTCGAATTAGGTGAAGCATCCAATATACGGGAAATTATATACGAACAAGAAGCGTGCCGAAAGGGGAATCCGCAGAGCCGGGTGTACGTAGTAAAGGAAGCACGACAAGAAATATGCAGCGATGACTTCCGGCGCGCCGCTCGCACGTGGATACAATTTCCTTTCGAAATGGTTGACTGTTCGAGTACTCGTTTCGTATCGTGAGTTCCACACTAATTACAGTTTCGGCGGGTAAAATGCAAAGGGACGCGTGCCATGCATGAAGGGGCCGGAAGAATAAATTATACATTTCGATGTATTTCAGTTGTTAGCTCCGCTATTATTATATTCTGAATACTCTCTCTATAGAATTTCATTTTACGATTTCATTTTATACACCTAGTAAAAGAAAATTTTCATATAATGTTCTTTATTTCCATTGGATATGTGGCGTCTATATCGTCAAAGCAGTTAAAAACAATTTTCATCAGCCGATATTGTCAATTCGAAACAGTCCGAAGTAAATCGATTTCACTTCAATTACAAATCAGTTAGAATTCGCATATAAATTTTATAAGATACTTTACATAAAGAAAAAATATAGAAAAATAATTGTTTTAAATTATCATAAAATTTTTAACTTAACCGCATCGGAATATTATATCGAAATTCACACATGTATTCAAACGTATTCAAACCCGCTTTATGTCGAATGTATTGCGAGTTGTTTGCCAACGCTGATATTTCTTGCCGTGCAGTCCATAATTACTTTGCTTCCACAGCATTTTTACTAATAACGAATGTTTTCTTTCCCGCACTCTTGGCTTCCGCAGTATTTCAATGTAAGTAAAAACATATTTCATATTCATTTCTCACATATTCAACCGTTTGTACATTTTATATATAGATATCAGTATGTTTTCTTTTGGTAGATTTTTGATTATCGGAATACCAAGCAGTGTAAACAATAATTATGAGAACATCAATTGTCGAAGAGGAATTTCTAATTACAGCGTTTTTATTTCGTTGTATTGTTTCCTCTTTTTCCGTGTAAAATGTTATTTCTTGTTGCACATTAGGTTTTCCGGTGTTACTATTGGTGTTAATGTTTGTAACTCAAATTCTGTTAATGAAACTGGTATCGTTTAAAATAATAAATAACTGAATAAAAATGTTATGAAATCCCGAGAAGAGTATATTCAAACATAATTATGCTGTTAATCGTTCTATCAGCGATAAAATTAAAAGAAAGTATGAAAAAATCAGAAAATCTTTCTAAGTTTCTACTCGGGCGTCTTTGTATTCGTTTTATATTATCTGCAATCTAAAAATATTGCAGAATAATGATCCGGTAATCAAGGTATCACCAAATAAATTTTCAAGAATATTGTATGTGTCTGTACCAACACGTAATTCACTACATCTTTTAAGTGGTATGCTTCTTTTTATATTCAGTTAACAAATTAAATTAATTCTTTTACATCAAATATGAAGAAGAGTGGAAGACGCATTGGTACATTGATACAATGAGAACGATAATTACGTGATAACAGCTTTTGGTAGCTGGGTAGTAGCCATAGAATGAAGCAGTTAAGTAGTTTCGTGCGCTAGACGCTTATTCGACATGAAGCTTGCGACGTACTAGAGTGCTGTTTGCTGGGTCGATAATGTTTATAGGCGGTGACGGAAGGAGATATAAGTTAATCTTTCAAATCTGGTTTTTCCTCGAGTAAAATGTTATCAAATTATGTTGTAGTAAACCAATCCTGAAAGCACTGCAACTCTATGCGGAACAAATTTTCGGAAAAAACGATCACCGTCCAAATTAATGAGATTAGTCTGAAGAGTGGTCGAGGGCTAGTTTCTTGAGTGTTTACGTCTAATTGTTACTGTTTATTTTTTTATGTTACAGATTTAGATCTGAAAATATTTGTTCGAAGCTTGTTGCGAATTTGTTCAAGGTATTTGTAACGTAAACATTGCAAAACAAATGCAGTTGATTAAAGTTTATACTTTAATGTTTAGTGCTCTAACAATTATAAGGAAAAGAAAATATTAAATGTACTGTCACAGTGTTATTTACGTAAATTGAAATTACGAAATACTAATTTGATTTATACCAGTCATATTCTAGCCATCTTTATCCTGTCCTCTTAGGAAACGTATATTACAACAATATAGTGAACGCAATATTCAATTTAATTAAACTTGTTCTTTGAAAACGCAATGAGGTTCATTTAAAAGTATTTAAATTAGAATATCGATACCTGTCGATAGAATGACACATTATAACTTACACTTTGAAATTTTATATGGGTAATGTTGAATTCAACGAACGGTAAGGTCAAAGTGTAGACGTATATAACGTCAAATGCCGTTGGGTCACCGCCTCTGAGCATTATCCACCATTTTCTGTCAACGTGTGCGCACGTTGCGAATGCATATCAATAATCGATCGACAATTGCAGACACGGACAATCAGCGTGTCATTATCAATATGAAGGACGTTAACGATGAGCCGCCGTACTTCATAAATCGGCCCCTGCCAATGCAAACGGTGGTGCAGTTGAACGCACCACCAAATACACACGTGTTTACCCTTCAAGCACGGGATCCTGACACTGACAGCAATATTCATTACTTCATCGTTCGCGACCGCAGTGCGTATACATTTTTATATTACAATTTTCTTTCTTGAGGGCCTGAAAAACGTAATAATTCCTGCGGTTCTTTCACAATTTAAAGTTTTTAATACGCTTCTTCTCTGAATGTTAAGGTGTCTGATACATTTCAAGAATCATTTGGTACATTATAGTTTGGGTACAATGGTATTCGTAGTTAAAGGGCAGTTATATACTTATCTATCCTAACCTTAATGCAAACATAAAAATATAGATTTCTCCCAGTGTATGCTGTTTAATTATATGATAAAAACATGTGATATAATATAAAAATATATATATATAATATATAAAACGTACCAAGTTAAAAAAACTCTTTTTTCAACTTTCTTAGACTTAACCGAGATCTAACCTTGATGCAAATTCAAATGTTTATCCGAGCCTGTACTAAGCAAAAATAGCAAAAACTAAGAAAAGCCTCTAAATTGTACATTTGCCAGCATTAATTTGTCAAATTAAAAACCAAATATTGTACACAAAATAGTAAAATATTATCAATACATTGTTTCTTCGAATTCCTAACTTTGCTTCCCGTTCTACAATATAATAGCTGCACAGCTTCACCTACTATTACTACCTACTATAATCGACTGTTCTTTATCGTTCGATGCGTTGCAGAATAATATTTAAAAACTCTGACGAATTTTAAACTATAAAATCCAATTTCAGTGAAGCGTTTTATATTCAATGACCTAACAGAGGAAGTTTAAAACAATTTCTCCTGAATCCATACCATTGTTCTTCCTACGTGTTGTTAACGTCGGTTAGCTTCAAAACTGTTTACCATGGCGAATCTATGAGATTTCTGTATGAAATATTGAATTCCTCCCGTTTGAGGCCACTTGCCATGAAATTATCCCGGTGAAAAATGAATGACGCACGTTCTGCTTGCAGCTGGAGGCCGTTTCGAGGTAGACGAACGATCAGGCGTTGTACGCACCCGAGGGACCGATTTGTTTCAGTTGGACATGGAATACGTTCTGTATGTGAAAGCGGAGGATCAGAACGGCCGTATAGACGAGAAGCATTTACAGTCAACTCCTGAGGAGCGGTTATCGATCGTAGGTGGAAAACGCGCACCACAGTTCTATATGACGGCATACGAGGCCGAAATACCGGAAAACCAAAAGAAAGACTCCGAGTAAGTTGAATATTTTTGGAATTCTTCTGTGACGAGTTGTGCCACTACATCGAACTCACGATGTTATTCACAGAAGTAATGCATTAGAAAAACTAACAAGTAAATACAAGATGAGTACAAAAATATTTGAAACAAATGGTATTCAACATCGACTTGGTTACAAATTACAATAAACAAGTTTAAAAGGAATTGTTCTCTTTAATAAAAAGTCACGGTTACTCTAGTTTTTTTAAAATGGTATTATGTATTTCTGATTTGGTAGTTTAGAAATTTGTATTAAACGATTAGAAACATTCGTATAGAAGATTATTTGATCTCAACTAAATTACGTATTCAAAGTAATATTAAAACTATCAAACTAATAACAAAAATGAAATGAGTTATGTTACATCCTTTGTACAAATTACAGTCCTCTATCCGCGATATGTAACTCTACTATTTGTAATACACTTTTGGTTGTTGTATTAACAGTTGAAATACAGTTCTTAGAAAACCACTTGACACGTATGTTTGCCTATCGGCCAGCATTCACATCGAAGAGGTGAAAACATCCCTTAAAGTTGAATCTTGAAAATATATTTGTATTTATAAATATTGTTTTATTATATATTTTCCTAAGGAAAATGAGAGTTAACGTTTTTATTGTCGTATCGTATTCTATTCATTGCGAAAGCAAATAATCACAAAGCAACCATGAGTTGGAAATTAATAGTTCGCTTGCGAATTGCTGTCGAAGTTCTCGTGGGAGAATAAAGGACCGCGATATCCAGTGTCCCCTTCTGTTATGAAATAAGAATGTAACAACTGTAAAGTTAGCAACAAAAAATTGTTGCTTGAAGTGAGAACTGCACATTGTAATCGATATTGTTTACATATTATAATGGAATACAATATGTATCTATTATAAGATTTAACTAATAAGAATCAAAACTTAATACGTATCACGTTAAATTAATCACTCATATACTACAATTTATTTCAGCATCATATCGGTCAAAGCAAAATCATTTGCTGATCGCGAGATACGGTACACTTTGAAGGCTCAAGGTCAAGGTGCAGCAGGAACATTCAATATCGGCGCGAATTCTGGCATTGTGAAGCTCGCTAAGGAACTAGACTTCGAAGATTTTCGTCAAACTCATATTTATTCTCTCGTGGTGACAGCTACAGAAGATTCTGGAGGTTTCTCCACGTCAGTCGAGGTAACTTATCTTTGGTTTTTCTACAACCTTTATTAATTATAATTAGGTACTAGTTTTGGTATTAATGATGTATGGTAACTTTTTTTTATTGATTAACATTAATACATTTTCTATTAATAATAAAGTATAAAAAATATAATAAATGAATAACCTGCCTTGTCTTTTATTTTGTCTGATAATAACTGATACAAACATTTTGATGTAAAATGAACTATTTTAAATTTTGATAAAATACTGTAAGGATGTAAATACTTATTATCTTTCTTATTATTACTCCATAATTTGTAATCATTTTTAATGATCTGCGAGGGCTCCTGCAATTTCTAGTTTCGTCCGAAAATAAACTGGCGTACTTTAACATTTAGGGCTTTGTATAGTATAAATTTATAATTCAAATTTATTGAAGAGTGCATCATTTTAAGGTGTGTATGTAACACTAGCGTTTAGTGGTTAGCCACTCGTTAAATATACAACCACTGAACGTAAAGATAATGTAACAGTGGTTTAGACCACGATGAAACTCTAAATTAGATCCCTAAATCAAAATTACATTAACAGTTTGTTAGTCAGTAATAGATATTCCTATAACAGTAATAATACCAATGTTGTAATAATATTAGTATTGTTATAATATCTTTATAATTATAATTTAACTATTTATGAGCTAATAACGTAGAAGGTCAATATCAAACAGTCATTTTTAATTAATCCAAAAGATTTAATTTTACAATGTTTAAATTACTTTACAAAAACACACTGCAAAAGGAATAACGCTATAAATTATTTAAAGAAGTTCATGAATTACGAGAAATCAAATTCTGGTAGTGTAGATTATAGCGGACTTAATTTGGATCAAAGAATTTTGTTTAAAACGAAATTACAGAGCTTGTAATATTGTAAATAAAAGATACAATTTATTTCTATACAATCTGATAATATAAAAATTGTAAGAAAATTTATTGTAACAGCTATTTGATAGCGTTTTATAGAATCGAATACACTGTAAATGCATAAATATTCGTAGTTCAATTACGAGGCAAAGTACGTTTAATATTGTTTTATGAACAAGATATTTATTATTAAATTTAGTTACTTGACAATTACCCATGAATGTTATAAATATAAAATGTTAACGTTATTTTCAGTTGACCATTCGAGTGTCAGATGTGAATGACAACGCGCCCAAATTCGAGTTACCTGATTACCAGGCGCACAATGTGGACGAGGACATATCGTTGGGAACAAGTATACTGAAAGTGAATGCAACCGATGCTGATTCCGGCGCTAACGCGGAAATAGAGTATCTGGTGTCGGACGATCACTTCAGCGTTGACTCGAACGGGATCATTGTTAATAACAAGCAGCTTGACGCAGACAATAATAATGCTTACTACGAATTTATTGTTACTGCCAGAGACAAAGGTATGTCTATATTTCATTAAATTATTTGAGAGTGTCTATGATTATTATATTCACTTTTTAACAAATAATACACATTGAAATATCGTAGTAGAAAATTTATTTGATATTTTCATATGAAACTTCAATTGAAACAGCTATACAACCAAAGAATGAAAATATCTAAAAAAACACGATAATCGCAGCTAATATTATAATCTATAAAAGCAACATTGTATGATATTTGTGCGTGATCTGAACAATGCGTGAAAAGATAAATCGAATGCATAAACGTATACAATGAATATAATAGCAGATCAAACATATTGTGAATTTAACACATTCACGATGCAAAAGTAAATGTATAAAATATTAAAAAGAATAAAAATTGATGAATGTACAATAAAATTTCTGTTATATTAATAACATAAATAGAATTGCAATAAAAAAGTCATTTTAATTTACAAGTAAACAAATATTGTCATTTTATAAATAATTAAAAATTACTTAATTTCAATTTAGAATTCAACGTATACTTAAAGCAGTAGGATTCCTTAAATGTCTGACGTATACACTAATTTATAATTATTCTCATATTATCATGTATCAACATATGTATCAACTCACTGATCAGAACATTAATTAAAAGAAGACTGATAGTTTATAAATCTTAATATTACAGTCAATAAGGCATTTACATCACTTTAAATGAAGCCTTTCATTTTCACAGACTTAGAGATTTTAATACCTATTACTCAGCAACAATTTTTTTATTATTATTTGATAGAAACTAATAATAATGTGTATATAGTAAGTATAAGATACCTGTGAATACAATACAATACCCCCGTCTAATTCTGATCTACCATTTCAGGTGAGCCACCAAAGACAGGTACAGCAACAGTACGTATTTACACGAAGAACAAAAACGACGAGGAACCAAAGTTCTCTCAACAAGTGTATACGCCAAACGTGGACGAGAACGCTGGACCCAACACACTCGTCACGACTGTGGTCGCTTCAGACAAGGATGGTGATAATGTGCGCTTCCGATTCGTCGGCGGTAACACCACGTCTGGTCAATTCGTGATTGAAGAAATCACTGGTGTAATCCGACTTCACGGGAAGAACATCACTTTGGACAGGGATAAATACGAATTGAATGTAACAGCCCTTGACGATGGTGCTTGTTGTCCAAATGGAGAATTGACCACGCACACAAGCACGGCTGTCGTCGTGGTCTTCATCACGGACGTTAACGATAACAAACCAGTTTTCAAAGATTGCAGCAAGTATAATCCGAAAGTCGAGGAAGGCTCGCCAAACGGAAGCAATGTGATCAAGGTTCAAGCTACCGATGAGGACAAGGGTGTGAATGGTCAAGTAAAATATTCGATTGTTCAACAACCTAATCAAAAGGGGACGAAGTTTACTGTTGACGAAGAAACTGGTCAAGTTTTGACAAATAAGGTACGTTTGGATGAAGATTGACGAACTGAGAATGACATAGCACTTTTGAAGTCTGGGCAAATGTGACACGAGTTACTTAATAAAGTAGAATGTCGTTTGACTTTTAAAATTCGCATTTCACTACTTCTAGGCTGGCACTTGTTTTATATAACAACTTGCTCTAAATAATATAATGCTAAGCCCTTCTTTCATAATTGAATACGGTTTTATCATCCAAATCAATCTTTTACTGCTACTATTCTTCCCTTTTTATTAGTTAATCGATTAAAGGTTTTATCCTGATATACTAGCTGCTAAGCTGGAATGTACGGCCATAATGTCCTTCAGCCTGAATGGTTCTTTACTTTTTATTGTTGGCCATCGGGATTTTAGCACTCATTATCACTGACAGGTGTTCTTTTTCATTAACTAACGTAAAAAAGGATTCTTTCCGATAAAATATTGACCTAAAGACACTCTATCTCACAATCACAAAGTTGTCATGTCATTCCATACTATGTAACATTAGAAGATTTAAATCAATAGTTGATAAACATTCTTTTAATGAATATTAAATGTTTCCGTGCTTTTTAGACACTAACTGGAGATATTTTGAATGTACAATTATTTTAAAAGCGGTTCACTAATTAAATGAATGAAATTATTTTTAATTCACGGTTTGCCTGATCTTGATTTGAAATGAAATGTTTCATTTTTAGATGATAACATTCAAAATATCACTAAACAATTACACCACTATATGTATTAAAATTTAAAAATTACAAAATCCGTAGATTGTGGATTTATTCCAAAGTGAAAAACACAAACGGAAAATGATTGTGCCTTGATAATTTCAGGTATTTGATCGTGAAGGAGACGATGGGAAATTTGTATCTGTTACCGTTAAAGCGACAGATCAAGGTGAACCCTCGTTGGAAGGAGTTTGCTCTTTCACTGTTGAGATCACTGATGTCAATGACAACCCACCACTGTTCGATCGTCAGGTACATAAATATATTAATGAATGTTAATAGATACTATTGAATAGTTATTTAGTCTTAAAATAACGTATAATATGATGAATATACATACTGTATAAGCTACTTTTTTTCACATTTCAATTTTGTTTATTTTAAGTATAAATGTTTGTAAATGTTTTATAAATGAAACAGTCGATATAAGAGTAGAGACGTAGTGCCTATTTCATTTTATGATTGATGATATTACTAATTAGATAAGTTTTATATTTGCATTTAGTAAAGTGTATTCATTTTATAATAGCATATTTTGCTTTCGATTGTTAATTTTTACATACATATCTTATATATACCACTTCAATCAATGTTGACTAAATTTACTAGCTGCTTTTTCATATTTAACGAATTAAAAGCTAAGGAAAGTATAAATATCCTTTGTTACTTTTAAAAATGTATGCTGCATTTAACTGAAAATTTTATTAGTATCACTATTTTCTTTGTTTTATTTATATACGTGTTTCGTTTTCATTAATACTATAAGATTTAGTGACCGATGTATTATATATACATTACGTGTCAGTTTTTAGTGTTTTATTTTTGAAATTAGAAGAAGAAATTTTATTGAAATAAATAATATATTATTCCCAATATCAACCTAGCATATTCTTTACTATTTATATAGTAGAAAGATACTAATTTTATGAATCTATATTAGAAATAGAAAATACATTAGAATTCTCATTAATTTCACTGACCTTGCAATATGTTATTGGGGACATGATTCTAAGCAGCTGTCCTTTAAACGTATCACCAACATTCGGCCTTAAAGAGTCAGTTATTGGTATCGTTTTTTAAAACTGTTAAACATAAGCTTCATATACAGGTTGCCTTTCACATTCATAGTCACGATCATCGTCACGATTATCAAGCTAAAACGCCATATGGGCATAAATAAATGTGTCTGTTGTATTTAACGTGCCCGTACCCACCATTAAGGTCTACGGACACGCCCAACCAGCGGGTCCCCGCGGAGAGATCTCCCCAGGGATTACCAGATTCGTCGCCAGGGTGCACGCCCCAACGACACCCTTGGTCTGGGCGGAGACCTTTCTAACATCCCTTCCGGCTAAGCAGGCCGGCACCCGAGCTGTTAGCAATGCAGCTCACCCGCCGGGGTGTCACGCCCTTACAGGACGCGCACCCCTAGCCTGCGATGGTAGACGCCGGAGGGATATTCCCTCCGGGGGCTCACGTGTCAACCCCCGCGGTACCAGTCAAAGACCATACTGGTCTGCCAATCGTGGAATCAATCCACTTCCCATTGGGGACCTTGCAAGCCCCGACTTGGATGGAGCCAACTCGGATACGTGGGGTCGTTACTCCCCAATGGCCTTCGGGTTCAGGCCCGGCAGCCCTCCTGCGCCCAGGCCATAGGGGCCAGAGGGTCCATAGTTTTACTTCCACTGTACCCGCCACGAAGGCCCAGCAGAGAAGGCTCTCATGGACGCGGAATTGAGATGAGGCTTGATCAGCCGGGGCCGTAGCCCTACCAGTGTTGTCTCCTAGGGGTGAGTCCCGTGGAGATAGGCTGTTGGTAGCGCCAAATTACCTTTCCAAAAACTACTATCAACTGGATAGTACCGGAGCAGGTGGGACGCTGCTCTCCCGCCGGGACCCGGGAAAAAGAAGTCCCTAGCCCAGCATGCGGGCTTTAAACCACTGCCCCCTCGAGTCCAACACCAAACGGCCGGAGCATCCTCACGGACGCTGGGCACCGGCCCCCGAGGTACCAGTCCCTCACGGTCAAATGGTTGGACTGCTAGGATAGGAAGTAAAACTCCCTATCTGCCATATTCAGACAGCTCGTCCCTGCCTTGGCTTGGTTGGCCATGATTCAGATCGGGTTATGCCCCCGGGATTGCCAACCCCGTACCACTGCACTCAGACAGCAGCCCCTGGGGGAGGCCATAGAGGCCAGGGGAATCAGCCGCACGCTTCACTACAAGAAACATAGTGGCCGAGCTTCCGCGTCCCTGGGATTCGATAAACATGTGAAGCCGCCGTCGCACAGAAACAAAATCCAATTCCTATGTTTGTACATCTCCCTTCATCGCTTTCTGTTTCGGTTGCATTCTTTGTTATGCCATTCGGCCAATAACAAGGACTTGACGAAACTGAGGCGTCACTGTTGCTATTACTGCTGTCCGGATAAGCAGTGTTGGCGGCCATTTTTTTTGCTTGGTGAGAAGTCAGGGCGGCAAGGGGTCACTTCTACTCATGATTCTCGGTTTTTGATGCGCAGTCATTATTGGCGCGCAGCAATAATACAAGACAGAAGCAAGACCGAATACGATGCAGTGAGATGAAACAATAGAAAACGAAATTGGCAGTAATATGAATTTTATTTTCCGTCGTTACATCTCCGTTGCATTCAGTCTCGCTTCCGTTCTTATTACTGTGCGGTCAACAACGAGCATGCATGGAGGAGCGAAGCGGCTCGAACATCGTGAGTGGCAGTGCCGCTTTGTCTCCCTGATTTTTTTAGCTTTTAGGACAGCCGATGTCTATTTTTGTGGGACGATACTTATGTACTGCGCAGAGCATAAAAGAAGATTGACGGTCCTGAGTGGTCGAAATTAAAGGAGCCCTGCCCTTATTCATTTTCGCCTCTAGAATGTGATTGGTCGAAACGGTCACATATACTACGTCCGTCACGTCACAAGATTCACACATCCAAAGATCTCTCTTGTTCCTGTCCTTTCCCTGTTGGACTTCTTTCGTGCTCTATACAGTACTTGTATAGCAGAAAGGAGTATTAGTACGCCTGGTTTCTCTGGGCTGCGGATGCAGAGGGGACAAAGTTTCTCCTCTACTGACACTTTTCAGCCATAAATGCCAAAAATCCTTTCTACAATTTAGTTAAAGATTATGGAAATCGGCGGGGAAGCTCTGTTTTAATGTTTCCTCAAAGTGATATATAGGGTGAGCCATGGAAAAGTAGCCCACCTCCTCCGATAGGGTATGATGAACGAACAGGTGAATCGTTTTTATTCCCCAGTGTTGAAGGCGGACTACCTATTCGTGCTCCACTTTGTAAAGTAGATTTACTTTAAATTAAATTAAGGGTAGTATGATTTGTAACGTAATTTATAATTACAAAATTTATTAGTAACGCCTAACTGGTCGCCCTGCAGTGGCCCATTACATGCGCAAATCCATTAATAATTCAAACACTGCCCATAAAATATAGTATACATATAATATCAAATATATTTTTGCGTATATCTCAGGAATTAACCCTTTGAATACTGAATACTGAATACTCTCAACCGAAATATCCCGAGTATTTAATATTTTCCGCTTAGCTTGCTGTCTGAAGATCGATGAACTTAATTCATATGGGACAATTCATAATTTATAATTAAGTTGTAATTGTAATTCCTGAGTTTCTCTACATTAAACAATGTTAAGAATGACTCATACATTTTTTATTGTTACCGCGGCGTACGTGTGCGATTAAAAACATCCGAAAACAAATACATACATTCGTGTATAGTCAATAGCAATTACTTTCGATAGTATACGTTCATAGCACTTAACACTAGGTTTGCGGGCATTTATTACACGGTTAATTCTACTGCTCCTAAAAAAGTTCATGTTCGTTCATCAGATTTTGGTAGTTACAGGGTTGAAAATAGATAATTGAAGTACATGTTGGTATAATTGTATCAATCAAAGTCATCGTAAACATATACTAAATAGTGTTTATAAAATTCAATACGCGTCAAATTAACGCGCTCCGCGCTTAAGCTGAGTGACGGTAACGCATACTATTCGCCTCTTACGTTAGTTCCATCGGCCATAGAACTAAAAGTGCACCGCCTAAGCCTAAGGTCGATGGAACTAACGTGAGAGGCGAACAGTATAGTAAAAAGTTGTTCAGATTCAGGTCCCCGACACTATATTTCAAAGTCTGTGAAATTAATGAGGATTTCCTAAAAAAAGCTGAAATTTTGAGCCCTTTTTTTAAACAATTACAAAAAAAACAAATAGCATAAAATTAAAGTATCTGTATGTTGAATATTAAAATATCAGGAAAGTTCTGACAAAAATTGATGAGTTGAAACTACTACTGTATTTATATTATGAGCCCGTTACTTTTCACCACACGCGCGACTAAAATTTCTATTTATTTGCAGCGATACATTGAAAACGTGAAACAGGACGCGAGTATTGGTACAAACATTCTAAGAGTGTCGGCATCGGACGAAGATGCCGACAATAATGGCGCTATAACATACTCGTTAAGCTCGCCTAACAATGATCAAGGCTTGGAGTACTTTGAGATCCAACCAGAGTCTGGTTGGATCGTATTAAAGAAGCCCCTAGACGTGAGTATTCCCGTTATTGGTTATCTACATATATGTCTCTATTTAACAATAACAAAAATTCTCCGACAAATTGCCGTGTGTTCTCGAGCAATCGATTTTTTCATCTATTTTCATGCATTTTCACCCATTTCTTAATTTATCACATCGTTGATACACGCTAATCAACGCTTGATTTTATGATCTATTGAATCTAGACACTTCATTTCAATACAATGATATATTGTCAGAGAATTGGAGACATTGGAAATCACGTAGACTGTGAAAAATTAATTTATCGAGGACATACGTTACATTCATCATCATTATTACGCCCGTACGCACTCGCACATATAATTAGGATTACTCCTGTTTATACGTGTGTGTGCGTGTTTAAAATAGAATATATACATATATATATATATATATGTGATATATATGTATATATATTATATTATATACTTATATTTATATTTATATTATATGAATACGAAACTTAAGTGTACACCTTCTGCCGATATATTGTACGTTTACGTTTACTTACGTTTTTTAACACGAATCCGTTTTGTTGCTGATCGGATAAATTGTATACTAACCTACGTTTTGGTCGGCAATTATTTCTCTAATTATCACTAATATGCAACGACAATGAGTTTCCTTTTTACGGCACATGTATAGAACTTTTTAATTCCCATTGATATGCACAATGTGTTCACTATGGTAAATACTTAGCTATGCCTGATTTCCTTCAAACGCTTCATGTACCTGAATCGATCGACCGTTCGGGCTATTTTTGCAACAGAACACTCTCTCTCTGTCTTTCTCATTCTTTTCTATCGAGTACATACTCGCGGCGCGAGTACCTGTTTTACAAGTTCCAATTGAGCTTTTCGAACACCTCTTTGTCTCCAATATTTTGATTTTGAAATCGCCGCGGTCGGTCGCCAACGAACGTTTACGTACTGTTTCTCGTTTCCCCCCTTTTCTACGTTACCTTTCTTTGCGTTCTCGACTTCCGTCTCGATAATTTTTTTCGTTCATCTTCTGTTGTTCCTTCGACCTTTCGGTTCGATTCGTCTTCACTGTTCTTGAAAACGTCGACCGTTTTTTGATCTTTTTCATTCTCATCGATCGGAACACGAGAATCCGCGTTTCTGTTTATTTTTTCTTCTCTCAATTTGATGATTGTGCTATGTGTTTCCTTTTTCTACGTTTATTTCTGCGCGAATTGTCGGACTGAAAAGATGAAGAGGAAAGAAAGGACAAAAAAAAAGAAAAGAGAAATGAAAACGGTTCGCGGTTTCGAGTCGCGCGCCCAGGCAAATCGACCGGTGGCGAAACGAGCGTGTGCACTTTTTCATTTTCCATAACCTTAGCCAAAGGAGAACGACGTCTGCGCAATTTTTTTGTTCCCCTCTTTTTGGACACACGTGTCACTGAGCCCGCGGAGAAACAACGGGAAGGAACGAACGAATAACAGAGCAAAAGGAAGGGAAACGGTCGACTTTACCCAACTAATCACCTTTTAATTATTCTCCTTAAACTAAATACTAATGTGAATGTTTTTCAAAAGGGAAGTGATGTTTTTTGAACTTCCAGGAGCAGGTGGGAACGACATTTTTTGAGCCCCACGTACGGTGTACTTCAACCTCTACGCATTTTGTGGTGCATCAGACATAAACAATTTTTGAAAATGCTTGCATATTTTATATGAATGTGTTTTTGATTCCTTTACAGGAACGGATCTCGCTCTCATTCCTATCCTTCATCTCTGCTCTCTCACTCTCACTCTCACTCTCTCTCTCTCTGTCTCTCTGTCTTTGTCTCTCCCCGCCTCCCCCTACTATCTCTTTTTTTCAAATGTTTTTACTTTGAGTTTCCATTTACCATTCTGTCTGTTTCACTTTTTATCTTTCGTATACCTTGTTTTCGTCTTGTTATGAATTACTTTGTCTATTTTGCACCGTTACTGATGACTGTTTCTGTAACTTTGTTTTTTGACTTTTATGGATATTCAGAAAAGATCTTTAAAAATCGTAAAACGAGGATGATTTTTATTATTTGCATTTTGTTACTACAAGCTGTGAAAAATATTTTGAACTTTTCTTTTTCGATTTTCGTTCCTTCCAAGCTGGAACAATACGGATAACTTTTTTATCTTCTTTTGTATTTTGTATTTTGTATTTTGTATCTTGTATTTTTCTCTTTTCTCTTTCTTTACCTCTTTCACTCTTTACTCCTCTGACACGTCTCGACTTTCCTCCTCTATTTCCTTCCGCAAACCACGACGTGACTGACAATGAGCCAAAATATTAAAAAAAAAACTAAAAAAAACTGAAAAACGAGAGACATTTTTTGCCGAGAGCGCAATAATAAACGATAAACCGTAAGAAATCTGTCCGTGGTGTGACATTTTTTCTTCTGTGATTGGGGCGGCATACCACTGTCGTGACGGGACAGAAAAAAGCGAAATAAAGCGGATCTATAATACAATCGACGGAGCAACGTGATAAAAAAACCTAAAAAGCTAATCCACGGTAAAAACGTCCATCGGTTTTTGAGTGTCGTTAAAATGAAAGAAT